CAAGATGCATAAAAAAGCATTTTAAAGAGGAGACTCTGTACTTTCGTACGCTTTTGATCCCAATAAGCTACAATTTTTTGTTTATACCGTGCACCGTCGCAAACTCGAACCATTATTTTTCAATTTTGCATGCTCGCGCTTTGTCATCCGCCATTTTCAATAAATTTATTTTGCAACATTGAAATAAATTGATTCTTAAAGTAGAGATTTTTAGCTTCATTTCCATATTTTATAGAACTTTCTATCTTTATTATTTACGAAGTTATCGTCAGTTGAAATTTGATGAATTTTTCCCACATTTTCAGTGTACCGCTTTTTTTTCGGGTGAGTGTACAATAAAAAATTTTAAATTGTATATTTCCAAAAAATTAAGATCAATTAAAGAAATTTTCTATTAACAATTTTTGAATAAGAGTATGCGATATGATGAGTAAATGTTCTGAAAACTTAAGTTATAGAAAAATTATAAAAAAATTAAATAAAAAAATTAACAAAAAGCTTGTAAAAAGTTATCTATAACAATGATGTATAAAGAAAATAAACAAAAGTAAAAATTATCAAATTAACAATTGCCAACAACTGTAGGCAATCTTTAACGATAACGCCAATATATAAAATTATAATAGCGTTGAGCGATGAGTGAATGTTAATTGTACAGTGCCAAATCAACATTTTTCATTATACAATTATGCCAATTTGACATTATGTAAATTAATCACAGCGACCATTGCTCGCGCACTTTGCGAAAGCTGTACTTACGGGCCGCCGCATTGCGTTCCAGATCCAAAACGCGTGCGGCTACGTTTGTCTGTAAACAGATGGTCCTTATCACGACGAACGACTACGAGCTATCGCGTGAATTAAAAGACGCGAATTGCGTAGCATACTTGGCTTTTAATTTTTGCGCGATGTAATTCCTCGATATCGCGTGGAATAGCGCGAGCTCTGCTGTTCACCAGTAGATTAACGCATATAAAAAGTCGGTTTATGGTATATGCGTTCGCCGTTCGAGAAACAAGCGCAAGCCAAGTGTGGAATAACTAATTACGTTATGAGATATTTGCTGATATTGTGTGCCACCCTTGTGGTGACCAGTGTTCAAGTAAGAATAAAACAAATGCATATGTCGTGAATTTAGCTACAAACTAAACACTAGTAACAGAAAAAGAGCAGATAATTATTATTAATATTATTAATCTTTTCGTAATAGCATAATAAAAGCAATCTAATTAGATTGACAATAATGTTTACATTCTTACTTGTGTGATAAGTTTTAAAGTATAAAAAAATTATACTGAACCGTTTAAAAACAATGTAATATTTGATAGTTAATAAACAATGTTAATAATTATACACATTTTCCTAGACGCATCGGCAAACGTCTTCGAAAAGAGAGGTAAAAAAAAAAAATAAAACCAAGTCAATCTTTTTCGCAGTTATTCAAAATATCATGGATAAAATTAAAAGTCACAAATATAACTATAATTTTCAGCCAAAAACAATTATTAAAAACAAAATCGTCAACGTTATCGTCAACCTGGATCCGCGGGAAGTAGCTGAAGAATTGTGGAAAAGGTGATGGAAGCTCGTCTGAGTAACGGCACCAGCCATATCACCAGCTCGAAAAGTGCCATTAGAGATCTCAAAAATACAGTGCAGCCCATTTTATCATCCAGCAGAAGGGATGGAACATTGCCATCTGCTTTCCAAGTGGCAGGCCAATTCGATCAAATTACTCGCAGAGCGCTTACCAGAGACACTTCAACCATAAATTCGTTGGACGAAGAGATATTAACAAGAGACATCGTGGCAGACATGATGTTCTGTCTGAAAATGTACATAATGTGTTAGTAACAATTCAAACAAAGATCGAAGAAGCGGACGCATCTACTAGAAAAACAATGCGCAGTCCTGTCACGATAAACAGTGACGAGCAAGAAGATTACGTGAATATCAAAATTAAAATAAACAAAAACAATTTAATCAATGTACTTAATTAGCTCGACGTTACTTTTTAATAAAAAGAAAATATCGCTCGGTTGCTAATGAAAAGAAAATAATATTTGCTAATTAATATCAAATCTCACCGAAACATATATTTATATATTATAGTTTTACATTAAACACAATACGCAAAAACAATATATATTTTAAAATAATGTTTTGTCGATTAATATTATTTGAATTATTTAATTAAACATTACGTTACATTTAGTAATAAGATTAGTATGCCTGTAAAAACAAATAGATAATGTTTCTTAACGATTTTCTTTTCGGCAAATAATAAATAATATTAATATATGTATATGTCTGTGTCATATTTTATTTTAAATAGAAACTTGATGATTACTAGACCAAAAAAGAAATTTTGACATTTGTATTATTAATAAATTTTTATATATTTTTACGCTTAATTTATTTACCTTGATGAAAGCTCCAAGACATCGTAATTTTACAGTTTACAGACCCCAATTAGTAGTATCGCCAAAAATAAATTGAATTATATACGTTCATTCACTATTTACGATTCTAGGTGTTCGTTATGCACTAGATAGAATCAGTAATTTTTTTATTACACTTAAAAATAAACGACTTTTCATTTCAGTGTGACCGAGATTTTCTATATGAATACCAAGCAATTAAGTCAAGTCAAGAGTCAAGACGAATTTTGAAGTTCAACAGTTAACACATTGTTAACACATTGTTTGGCAATGGTGGCTTCTACAACGATTTCGCGTCGAATACTCGGCTGTCTGGTAAATAAATTATTTTTTATTAAAATATTTGTGAAACAAAATTATGTTAAAACAGGTTTATATTAAATTTTATTACTAGAATAATAAGTAATGCAAAAGATTGCTATTGAAAAGAGTGTAAAAGCGGATTAAAATATTTAACGATCTACTTATTTAAAATTTGAAGTTGAGTTTAGCGAAACAACTAAAATTGAAACTTATATATTGTCTTCCTATTAATAAAAATTATTCTATACTCTATTGATTTATTTTATATACGAGTGTATTATTTTCTTTCCTACTTTAAATTTATTTTCTAAAACATCTTTTGACATATAAATGAAAAAGAAACTGTTAACTATAAATTCAAATATCTCACACGTAATTAAATTTAATTTTAATCTTTTATTTTTAGTTCCTAATTTTGTTGTCGCATTATTGTGACTCTACAAAATCTGAACAGTTGGAGTTGATTTTGATAAATTTACAACGTATCGAAAACTTGTTAGTCCTGCGAGCACAGAAAGAAAGTTTAAATTGTTTTAATTGAAGCATTACACAATCTGATTGCGGAATTATTAACTAATGAAAAAAGCAATGAGGTATTAAAATATATGAAAAATGCAATAAATGATACGAATAGTAAATTTTACATTTAACAAATAAAATTTGTTTTTCTTTTTTCAAAATTTAAAAAATAAGACTTTTTAGTAGTTGATGCATAAAACTTAAATCTTGTTAGCTTTTATGTAGCTCTATTCTCAATAACTTAAAAATTAAATTACTTTAAAAATGAAATACAAAGTTTAATCATGTAGCAAACACGAAGACGACTTAGCGGTATGACGGACATTCAAAAACTACTCGGCCTTGACGGTTATTTGCAACGACTTTCATTGAATGCCGCACACAGCTGAAGCCATGAAGAAAACACACGAATTATAACGAGAATGTGAATACTAATACAAATACGAACATCAACCAGTTATATAGCAGACGTATTCTCGATAACAATTTACTGCATTCATCTCAATCGTTTAACCAGAACAGTAACAGTAGCAGTAACTTTAATATAAATACTGATTTAAACAAATATAAAGAATTATTCGATTTAAGTGATAAATATACAAATAAAAACAAATGCTTCAGAAAATCGCAAAATATAACTGAAGATTTTTACATCTAAATAATATATTATACTTGTAGTACAATCATTTGTTAGATCAATACAATTATCTATTGCAGTAATAAAATTATGTAGCTAAATTATTTGCAGCTTAATAAATAACAGAATAATAAATATTTTCCAAACTAAAAAATATGTTGAATCATATTAATATTATTTTAAACATTACAAATCAATTATTTTATCAACACACTATTGTAGTTTACTATGTCGAATCAGTCGTTTGAATTCTACAATTTGTTGTTAGCAAAATTTTTTAATTTTCCATTCTATAAAATGCATCATGTTAGTTTATCAGAGAAAATTATTTATCTTCTACATATGTATCTGCTATTACGAATCAATTTTTCATCAATTCTTTGACGAAATCAATTTAACGCTGTTCAGTATTTTATTTCAGTATTTATCATAAAAAACTATCAATTTTTCGATAATTAATTAACATTTGTTTAATGTAAAAAATTGACATGTATTATTATACGACTAACAAAGTGTAGAAAAAATTTTATAATTGATATTGATCGATATTAAAGAGTAATAAATATAATAAAGAAAATTAGAGATTGGACACACCTGAAAATAATCATATTTTAGTCTATATATATAATCATGGCACCTGCCGTTTATTAAAAACAAATTCGATAGTAATCATATAATTACAAACAATAATAATGACAGTATAATTATAAAATATGCTCGGTCTAGCATTTTTTACGCGCTTGTAGAATCAGTCCTAACCCTCGGATTATCAAAACACCGTATAGAGTAGTCAATTATCTTTTTATTCCCTCTTTTCCTTTTCCCTCGCGTTACCTCCACGATCCCTTGATTTTCTATAGTCAGAAAAATAAATATATTCAAAGGTACCGTTTTCTCGCGCCTGAGAAAATTTTAATGACCGATAATCCGAGGGCTAATTAAACTATGAGACGTGCTATAGAGGTATGTTACAGTGATGTAGGGGTTTCGTTTACGTAATCAAAAAATTGACTCTTGCATCCTCAAAAACAAAAACATCATCGACTGACGACGTTCCGGCGCTTCCACTTTCGAGGATTTTCCGTTTTCGCTGCTCCACATGCCTCAAGGTTCCCGCACTTAGATTTATATATGTATATGTACACGCACGCGCATTTGTATATATATATATATATATATATTTGTATATATATAATAAATATAAATACATACACACAGATATATATATATATATATATATGTATTTATATTTATTTGTTCATTGATTTATTTATAATATATAATTATTTATTCGTTAGGCGCACTCCACGGAAACGAGCTGGCCCTTCTGCGAGTTTGAATAAAAAATAAATGATCCTTGTTCGTTTCGCCGGAGTGCTGAGATCTGCTGAGGATGTCGAGTGACAGTCTCTCGTCCTTTGCGACGTAAAACTAGCAAAGTTGGATAAAGCTCTGCCACGGTTCCTAGTGTGTATTCTAAATTCTACTTTTGTAGAAATATTTGCACACTTTTCTATTTTATTCGTCATTATTTATTGCATCTTTTCTTGGTCTTGCAATATTCGGCGCTCAGTGTGTATTCTAAATTCTACTTTTGTAGAAATATTTGCACACTTTTCTATTTTATTCGTCATTATTTATTGCATCTTTTCTTGGTCTTGCAATATTCGGCGCTCATATACGTTTGTCGTGCAAGAGAGTAAAGTTTTGTTTATCCTCTGATGCACTACAAGTTCATAAACTGGATTTTGATTATTTGTAATGTACAATCTAATGAATATACAATAAAAAATTATTTCAATAAATTAACGTCTTTAAACAATTATAGCAAGAAAAGGATGCACATCGTATAAAATCATTTTGTCCATTAAAAGTATTAGATTAATATTTTCTACATTGTTCTATACTATATACATCGATATTTATTTTGCAACATATAAAAAAATTGTGATAATTTATAAAAACAATTCAACAATTATAAAGAATAAACATAAAAGATTTTTTCAAGATGCTTAGAAAGCTAACAAAGTTGTGCAGTTCTCTTTTTAAAATTACACTATTGCGATATTTTCACAGGTACCGTAGATATTGCAAAAACTGCAATATAGACAATAACTCTCATTTATATATTTTATTCTCTCTCTCCCTCTCTCTCTCTCTCTCTTTCTATTGAAAAATCGAGAAGTGCAATTCATCTTTATACTTTTGTGAAATGCCCATTATAATATTATGAATAAGCAATTTCGCGATGGCAAATTATACGCAGAAAGAAAATTGATTATGTGACGGACAAGCGCCAGTTTTTGTCGTTGTCTTATTCAATAAGCAGTGCCTTATCCAACTGTAGAAACTAGACAACGAAGAGAATAGACGTGTCTCTGGGTCTTTAGGCACTTAAATGTCGGAAGTTACTGGGAACCTTAAGGTTGTGATTCATCGAACGCATGGTACTTCCTATTTACAACCTTCATCGAGAACGTAACACGACACCCCCGAAGAAGGATCGTGTTGTATTCAAATGAACGGTATTCGAACAATTCGTACGTCAGTTCAAGAATCAGGTAAACTGCAAAATTTCATTCGTGTCGAAGAAGACGATTGCCACGAGATAACGATTACAATTCGAAAGCTCTCGCTACTGGCCTGCTGAAAATTATTTATAGCTTAGGGAGCAATTGTTCGTTCGCCAAAATTTCGCGGCAGATTAGAGTTAGCTATTTCAGGCAGTTGTGTAGTGCAAATTTTCACGCATTCAATTTTCGGAATATAAATAAGATATGCGCTTCGTCGAAAGTAATTCTCATAAAAATACTGTCCATTCTAAATACTTTCTGTACAATGTGTTTTTTTTTTTAACCGGAAAATAAGCGGGACGAGAAAAACAAATTAATCGCCGATTCAAAAATGAGACTTGTAAAGATAAAATTTGTTCTGCGGTTTTACGGTCTCGTGTAGACCGAACGCATAGAATTATTCGTATCACACTTACACATAATATAACATACATGCTCTATATCAAAATACACTTACTTTTTTTTCCGAAGAGTAATCGATCATTATCCTCTTTTTTCTTATAATATATATATATAAAATATTATGTATAAAAATCAAAGCCGCAATTATTACAATCATAATTTGCTATTACGTATCATAATCGTTAGCAATAATTAATAATAATTATTATTACAATAACCTCCAGAGAAATCTAATAATTAATAGTTTACAATAGTGATAAAAGTATCAGTATAATAATAATAAAATAATAGCAATTTATATAATCAATATATAATATTGTGTACATAAAACGATGGCAATTTATATATTTTATGTCATTGTACACTTTGCCTTCCGAGTAACTCTGTCATCTCATACTTGCTTCTCGCACTCGATATACTCACGTAAATTTCCATCAACAATAAGATGAAAATGTACGCGCGCGCACGTCACAAAACTAAAGACTAGCAATTATGATTCCCACGAAGGATTCTACATCGGTTAATTAGGTAAGATCGCCGGCGCTATGTGGCCGACGTCTACAGACCTACGGATACATTATCGATAAATTCGTTTACTAAAATATAGTATTATCGTATTCTGTGTATTTGCCAATCGTTTCCGTTTTTAGATTGAAGCGCCCCGGCAAAACACATTATGCAAAATTCATTGCCGAAGTAAACTCGTAAAACCGCGACAAATGCAAAATTATACGCGCGAGTATATAGAAAATCTTAAATGCAATAAAAAATGCATTCCGTGGAAATAGGAAATGATGAAAGAAAGATATGTCTTTCCTCTTGAAAATTTATATGTAAAGTTATAGTAAAAATATGTAAAAAGTGCAGTGTTGACGGTAATCTATTAAATTATGTTTCTCGATGATAAGAAAAATAATTATCATCGTCAACAGCAGATAATATGTGATAACGTGGTAAACATTGAGAAAAGTTCAATACAAAATCATGGTCTACGTTGAATATGGCAGTGAAGTACAATGAGTTTTATCAGGCAGTGTCAGTAGGCAGTTTTCAGAACATTTTCGAGAAAAGAATTATATCCTTCGAGTTTTTCGGCAGTTCCTGTTTTCTAGACAGTCTTCTTTTTTTTTGTTTTTTTGATTTGTGCATATCGTCGCGATTTTACATTGTGTATTATAATTATGCAGCAGGCGGTCGATAAACAATTCGCGGTCCGAGATATTTCACTACTAATCAGTTCGGACTAATAAAAATTCGTTTTAAACGAATGCGCTTAGACAAAGGCCAGGTAAGTAGGAAGTCATCGCGAATCATTTGTCACCGGTGCTCGAAAGAATGAAGATCGAAACTCGAGTCGGAGTTTCGAATTATTTTGGCAATTATTGTACTTGTCTATATTTACAAGTGTATCATACATACCACGTGGAAAACCGAGAAGCAAACACATTGAGTATGCGTTACGCATATTTTTTGCATCATTAAAGTTTCACAAAATTTAACACGTGTAAAATTTAATCATTTGAGTGCCACGGATAGTCATTGTAGAAATACTATCGGAAAGTGCCGCGCGGCTCCTCCGTTTTCATGCCGAAAACTGCTAAGCAGTGTCGTCATGCTGTTTTCTTATGCTCGCGACAATCATAATAATAATTACTTTTTAAAAAATGGTTACAGCAAAAATTAAAATTGAGAGAAAAACTTTCGATTTAGTAAAGCATTTTCAAATTGTAGCACTTAACGCACTGTGATAAAATCCGAGCGCACCATCAATTAATGCAGTGGCACTTTTTGACACCAATCGCGAGGAACGTGATCCGACGATTAAATTGTATCTAATCAGTTCCTCCTAAATTTACGCGAAAGTTTGATTAGATTAAATGAATCAATATCGCATGAATAAAAAACAATTTGAGAGCTGCAAGATAAAATGCAAATTGTAACAAAAATCAAAATAAATATAATTTTTTGTTATAAAATTTTACAATGATACAACTTTAAAAAAAAAAAGATATAATCAAAATACATACAACAGATCATCATATATATTTAAATAAACATGTGTAAATTACTTTCTTTGGTATCAATTGGACGTTGCCAAGTTTTTTTTTTGTTTTTTTATCATCGTGTAAAGCAAGAGCAAAGTACTTAAACATTTTAGGGATAAAATTCTCGACAAAAATGTCTAGCACGCATTTGCATCTCGATTCTCCGTGTTTCCATCAAATAAAATCGTTATAGTGAGCATGCCATAATCACTGTTCGGCGAATGGCAACGGAATCACCATCGGCGGTGAAAGAAATCGATCGATAGCGGGAGAAGAAACCGCATTAACATTATAATTTGTACACGCGGCTGCCACCGTTGATTTCGGCGCAGATTGTACACGTCCTACGATCGATACGATTTGAAAAATATTTGCGACCGATCAAACGGCGACTAATTTCTACACGATATAGATATACGTATATAGAGAACAGTAATCATCTACATTATACGAATTAATTAGCTTGATTTCTTAACATTTTCGTCAATAACTTGATTTTGATCATCGAGAAGCTTCAATACGAGCATTACAAAATGCTTGAATTCATATATACACACATCCGACTGAAAAGTATTCGTTTGACATACTTATGCGTATCCAACTACACATACATCTATCGGATTAGTCGAACGTAATCCTCATCGCCGTGCCGTGCCGCACCGTGTTCGTTTAAAATATAGATTATGATTTTCCGCGGATACAAAAATACGATTCTCGGTTGCGGTCAGCAGCACTGCGCGAAAGTCGCATGCATACGCGGTCGCTTACATACATTCTTTTTCGACCGTGTACTTGACGAATGATTATCCGGTACAGAGATGTGTCGACTTCATTTCGTCGTATGAATCAAGAATAACTAATGCCATTCGACGACGTGCAACTAAAAGAATATCGAATATTCGATTTCAGTAACGTAAATTGTGGAAGGAAGTATATGCTTAAATAAGACATAAATATATATTTTAAAACTTTTCAACTTCGAAAGTGTACGTCTGAATACCTGTTGAGTTCCTCCAGTTGCAAGTGTTGTGGAACGATATTGATTATTCTAGCTTCAAATCGCTTTTAATTAATTGCACTCATCGCTAATCGTAGCAGAACAGTCTCGCGCTGCTCGCTTGATAAAATTATATATCTCTCTTCGCGCAAAAAGATTGCCTGATTTCACAACAAATGCACGAAGGGACACATTTGATCACCTTGCAGCCGAATTTCAAATGCAACAATATACGATTTTGTGTCGTAGCGATCGATATTATTAATAAGTAGGGATTAATATAAGTAGATTAATAAGTAGTCTTTTATAAAATAATATTACGCATTGCATCATATGCTGATTCTCGTCTTTCTTCATTCCTATTCCAAAGCTGCTGAAAATTTATCTCCATGCCTCGCGGACGGCATTCCGGTTCTCGGGATCAATGGAGAGAAGTGCACATATAATCGCCCAAACATAAAATTCTTCTCAAAAATATATTTCCCGTTTTTGCGCTAAAGAAACCACACGTTCAAGGGAATTAGCCCTTAAACACGAACCATTTATCGTGCGAATAAAGATAAAATGCAACAAGAAATAAAGTCGTTTAAAAAGTATCGCGTTCCGTAAAGAACAGATTCAATATAAGTGGCAAAGAGAGCATGTGGGGAAATATTTAGATCTCAAAAGTCGAGCACTCTGCGAGACAAATGGTCTGTGTTTAAAGATTAGTAACCGTCGACGAGATCAATCGAACCGGAAAGCCGACCGTACATCAGTAGGAAAGAGAGAATAGATTTGATCTGGAAATCGCACCAATTTCTTAAAACTTCAAATTATATTCTTTAAATAGAAAAAAATTATCCAAATATTTCGATAATCGTTTGAAAATTTGTTCAAATATTTTTAAAACATTTAAACTTATTTATGCTTCTCAGGTCAAACATTCTCTCTTTCTTGCGCAAAAGTTTTTTTCAATATTCCGAATCGAATAATTTCAAAAGTGCTCGCCTCGATCGATGCGTATCCTAAATGCGCTTTTAATACCTGCCTGTGTCTCGCTCTTTTTCTCTCTTTCTCACATACACGCTATCTGCAGGCAATTCTCTACGCAGCATGGAAAACGGACGTACATTTTTAATGAGACGCCTTCTTTCGTTGCTGAAGAAAGCGCGCAGAGCACTAGAAAGCACTCAGGCAGACAATTAGACATCGACGAGTGTTCCATGTGTAAAGTGTATCATATTAAAATACAGCTTTTTTTTTTAATAACTCTTCATTCGCTTCTCTTTTTTTTGCGTCTTTGCAACGCTACGGCTACCCCGCATTAGCATTAGCGCAATAATCATAATAATGACGATGATGATAATAATAATAATAATTAATATTACTTTTGTTTTATCTTACTTCCGTTTTCGTCAAATCATCTAAAAATATGTATCGTATGTATTTTCGTTTTCGATCTCATCAATCTTTTTTTAATCTCTTTTTTTTTTATCTTTTTCATTTTGTGTTCCTTCTCTCACTGGATACTTCCACCAGTTATTGCGTGAAACACATGCGCCTTTTTCACTCAAAACCAATACGTAATTGTAATAGATATATGCTTATATATTTACCATTGTAATACTTTATGCGCAAGTGAAACACACGGACGGTAGTGCCTAAGAGGTCACCCGAAATCCGAGAAAAGTTCTAAATACGAGACGATGTGTTTTGGGTGTGTCGACGCTTAAAACCGAGCAAAAAAGAGACGTGGTTTGTTTATAGTATACAAGTACATCTCGATTCGCGCGATTAAATCATCCCCAAGAATAATCCGACTGATATAAGAAAACGGAAATTGTCTCGAGTCGCTCAGCACGAACGTCTTCGCGTCAAAACCTCGTGTTAAGGGTGGCGTACTCTTATATGTATACATAAAAATATATCGCTAATTCACAGAGCATATTGCTGGTGCATACATCGAGAATCATTGCCAAAACAGCCGTCGGCATCGAGCTTAGTAATGAATCGTTCAATATTTTGCAAGAGCCTCGAACCAAAGTATCACGAATGAGCTCTATCTTAATAATAACGAGATGTATGCTGAGAGGTAGTCATTGCTGCGTTAACTCTTAGCATATTAAACTAACTTATTGTTTTACTATTTTCACATTTCTGATTTCGGTGATCAATGTACATGCTTTCGCTTATCGCTCGCAACAGTTTGTTTCTCTTGTAATGGTCTTCGCGAATAATTTCTACCTGCGCGAGACGTCTCCGCGTGAAAACCCGGCGCATCAATCACGGTGCATTTTTCAGAACATCGATAGAGAGAGCACACGCGAAGATTAAAGCAGAATGCACGCGAGCACATACACAAAGCGCAGACGTTCGTTCATGAGCGGTCGACTCTGACCAAAGTCGACGATTTAAATTGTATCTATATGCGCGACACTTATATATATATATATATGTACACTTTTTACACGTACATAATTATACATATTTTGTCTTTTTGCACGTTCTAATTGCAAGGAAAAAATTATGAATTATAATCTTTTAAAATTTAAAATGGTTCCCAAAAGTTTTACGATTACTACCATTATTAAAATTATTAAAATGATACAATCATTCCTTGCTATTAAAAACTTCTCTCTCATTCTTGCCGTCGATACATTAAAATGCTTTAGCGCTAATTTTATTTAACTCGTTTGTAATAAAAATCCCATTTCCCGATTAAAAAAAAAGACCTACATTTATTGGGGCACAAAGTATCTCTCTATTTCCTTTTGTATCACTTGAAACGAATGTTACCGTTAGAGAATTAGATAACGCGCGCGCATGATGCCGACAACGCCGTCATATACTAATCAACGCCGATGCACCGTGTGCTGCAATCCCTCACTGTCTCTCCGTGCGAATCGCATTCATCGCCACCCGCGAGGCTGCTCGTCTGGTTTGATTCGATTCGATTCCTCGGATCCGTCGAGCGGACCGCGTGCTCGCCACAAGCACTATCGTTTCATAGGCACGGAAGTATTACTTTTATTGCGTGTACTTACTGAGAGACAGTCTTTTTGAGAGATAAATCCTATTAATTTTTCCGAAGCGAAGACTCGAGAGACTTATATCACGTTTGCGATGCTCAAACGAAATACTCGTTTCGTGTCTCTCTCTTTCTCTTTCTTATTTCCGTTCGCCCTTATCTACCTTATTTTTTTCGACGCGTCCTATGACGATTCTTCCATACAACTTTCTTCAGCTTATCTGCAAAAATATTCTGTGATACAATAATCAGCATCGTCTTCGTGCAACGTGCTTATCACGTTCGAATCTTCCAGTCTTTCTGGCGTAGCGCATCGCAATCGAGCCACGATTTTCCGAGTTCCGACACACTTTGCTTATGCAACTCTGTCTTCTCGCGAGTAATCAAATAAAAATCTTCTTCCCATGTCAATCTTTCCATTTCAATCAATCTTCCCATGAAGCTTCTCTTCCACGCTTGCTTCTTTGTCCTTCAAACTATTAACGCGCGCGCGCAGTTAACGAAAAATGAATTCGCATCACGAGAGTCGATCGTCCTGAGAGAGACGTCGCCTACTGTCGAGGAAAGAGACTAGACTTCTGTCGATTCAAACGGGACTCTCCATGGAAAGGATCCGTTGTAACACGTAATCAGCGATAGGTCGATCTTTCGCCGTCCTCGGAAAACACGGCGAACTATACTGGCACCTTTCGCAAAGCAGGACGCCCCTACATATCTTACAACACTGTTCTGTGTCCTTAGACGCAACGTCGCACTCGGCCGCGACCCATTCACCGCAAAGAGTAATGTGAAATCTTCACAAATAGTCGTTCTCCACCGCCTGAGCGTCCTGCGACTTTAACGTCGCCATTTCCTCCGCGGTGCCTTCCTCGCCCTCCTGCTCTTCCACGAAGTTTATACTCCCGGCCTTGTACCAGACAACTATATCCACTACAAAGGCCAACATGAGGATACCGCCTGTTGTACCTGTGAAACATTCGTCTTATTACATTAACTTTGCCTTTATTCTCCACACAAGTTTATACATATATAATTTTTTGATTAACACAAAATTTTGCGTAATTCAGTAATAAAATACATTTTGCCCTTGTAATTTGTTCAATTTATTTTTTAAACGTGTGTTAATCAAAATTTCACGCAATGACGTTGTTTTCTTACTAATGTAATTATTGGTGTGTTATTTGATGCATATACTTTCCTTTCAATAATGTAGAATTTTTTTACGTATCTCTAAAATATGTACATACCGTGATAGAACATTCTAAATACATTAGAATCGTAAAGCCAGCATGCTCCTCGTTCGCCGCAAGCATATTCCCATACCAGACAAGCAGAATCCACCACAGCACCATAAACGATAGGACATGGAACATTGCCTGAAATAAGAAAAATTACTAAACATATTATACTATTAAAAGCAATTTTAAAAGATTAATATTAAAAAATTTCTAATTTCTCTGTTGTATCAATTTTTTAAATTAATTTCTTTCTTTTTCTTATCCCTTCTTTATTAATTCAAGTACTTCAAAATTAATATTTCATAAATTATAAATCAATCCATATACAAATAATTATTATAATCCAAATTTCTTCACAAGAAATTTTTTTATCAAGTTGTGCTTTCTTATAAACTTTTTGTTTATTCAGATCCAATATATTTCATGTAAGGTAATAATATATTAATATTAATTAATAATTTGTATATCCAACGCTGAAAAAAAATGTTTTATTAAGTAATTACCGAATAAGCCAATCATATACTTCCTTTCAATAATGTAGAATTTTTTTACGTATCTCTAAAATATGTACATACCGTGATAGAACATTCTAAATACATTAGAATCGTAAAGCCAGCATGCTCCTCGTTCGCCGCAAGCATATTCCCATACCAGACAAGCAGAATCCACCACAGCACATAAACGATAGGACATGGAACATTGCCTGAAATAAGAAAAATTACTAAACATATTATACTATTAAAAGCTAATTTTAAAAGATTAATATTAAAAAATTTCTAATTTCTCTGTTGTATCAATTTTTTTAAATTAATTTCTTTCTTTTTCTTATCCCTTCTTTATTAATTCAAGTACTTCAAAATTAATATTTCATAAATTATAAATCAATCCATATACAAATAATTATTATAATCCAAATTTCTTCACAAGAAATTTTTTTATCAAGTTGTGCTTTCTTATAAACTTTTTTGTTTTATTCAGATCCAATATATTTTCATGTAAGGTAATAATATATTAATATTAATTAATAATTTGTATATCCAACGCTGAAAAAAATGTTTTATTAAGTAATTACCGAATAAGCCAATGGCAAACTGTATCAGGCCGAGCGCCATGGCTTTGTCTCTAGGATCTACGCATCGTAGAATGAGTAACATGGATCCCACCTCGCTCGTCGAGTGAATAAAAACAAAAACCGAGAACAGGATCATGTAAACCCAAAAATTGCTGCATTCCAATGGGCAGTATCCCATCGTCGCTGTGCTTACTACTTCCGGTATCGTTATATTTTGTCCAATGCATTGACAGTTTTGAAACTGCGAAATATCAAAAATAACATCGTCAGCAGAAATAAATCATAATAAAGATCGTAATTTGTTATAGCACTTTATACTATATAAATACAATTGTTAAACAATGTTTTGCTTTAAAAAAATGTCCATAATAGATATATGCGTTCAAGAGATTCATACTTCGATATGAAGGAATCAAAGATTTTTAGATATGCGACCGAAATATTTTAAAATGTATAGCTAAAAATTATTTCAAATATTTTAATAAAAATAAAATAGTAATGTCGCTATTCAAATATTATTTGTCAAAAATAGCTTAAAGCAATATAAATCTTGAATACGTCTTGCTTTCCACATGACTTGGCAACGATATCAATTTTAGGTTTCATGGTTTCTAGTATTTTCAAGCTAATGATTAATTCAATTACCATCGTATCCCATGTAATCTCGCTCGAACAGATATATCATTAAGGTATATGTCTTGTCAAGTGCCGGCTTTATCAAGCTTAACACTTACCGATCCTTTGCCATCAATAACCGAATAATTCGAACAGCCCGCTTGACACGCCGAGAAATACGTTCTACCATCGGCGCCGCAGATTGGACTAAATTTGTTCGTATCGCATTCGCAGGTAGTTTCGCAAGTTGGCACGAAACTAGAAAGCCTATACAAAACATAATTCGCGGGTTATTTGCTTTAAATCGAACTAAATTTTATTCATAAAATTTAACAGCCTCTTTTGCTTACTCAAAACAGCTTCTTCCGCAAATATAATAGAAAAAAATATCCCAAATTCGAGTTTTGTAAAATTTTTCCCCCACAATTAAATATTTTAAAAAATATGTTAAGATACTTTTATTAAAAATTTTACTCATGTTTAAAAAATTATAGCCAAACTTAACAACCTAACTACGAAGCTTGTTCTGCTCAGTAGAATAAATATTTTTGGAGATTATTGAGAATGTTTTTTATTTTCACGTTTATAATAGATAAAATTATCGAATCATGAATAAAAAACACTCGCTGAAAGATCTACAAATGTGTCAGAAACAAAAATCTGAAGATAAATTTTGCTGGACATTCAAAATTTATCAGTACCCGAGAAAAAATGGTATAATTGGTCAGATATAAATATATACAATTAGTTATGAAAAGATCTGAATTTTATATGATCATATAAAATTACATATGTTATTAGATTTTTTCATAACTAATTATATATATATTTACATCTGACCATATTACACCATTTTCTCTAGGGTAGAGTACTTAAAACTTTTTGCTGCAATATGAAAAAAATCGAGCGCTCTATTAATAAATTTTGGTTGTCCAACAAAATTTATTTTTAGAACTGTATCTGGCACAATCTTTTAAATCTTTCAGCAAAAGTGTTCTTTCCATGTACATATCTAATATTTAAGAGAACTAGAGACACTTCAGACATTAATCCAAACACGTTGTATTTCGTTAAACAGAATAGATATATGCCATGCTCGCATTTGAATACGGCGATCGCGGTAATTGTGTAACAAACATGTTACAAACATGAGTCGGATAAACTTTTGAAAACATCACGAAACAAAGATGTTATCTCAGAAGAGAATATAAAAGTGTAAAATAAATTCACTTAATCCGAAAGCGCGGAGTCTGTCGTTAAAATATTGCAGCCCTCGTGTGTGTTGAGAGATTATATTCCACATTTTTTATATATATATATATTCTACTTTAATTTAAAATTAAAAATAAATTATATATTAATATAATATCAAATTAAAAATTATAACATATTTTGTTATCTTCGCTTGACATCTACTGATACTTTTTTCTTCAATTTGTAATAATAACCTAAATATTATTTTTTGCATCAAGTGTAATATTGCAAGAATGAATTTATTCACACTTTATTCAAATTTTTTGTAATAAAGTCACTTACCCGTCGGAACGTGACACTAGTCCAGCGAAATCGTCCATTGGACAGCCAATAAACATCAATACACCCATACCGATCGCATAAATGACAGCGGTGAAGGCGATCCAGGCTGCGACAAACCTGGCATTAGGCTTTGCCCTCAAGATAAATACTCCGCTAATTATGATACCCAATCCCATTACTAGGATACCACCAACACCTGCGCAAAAAATCACGCTCATTATACGATCGTTCAAAACCACTCATTCACATGTTTCGCGTCATCGTCTAGTCACGATGTACAAAGGAAACCCAAAGATCATCAGAATTACATCATTAAAGTAGACATCATTAATTAAAAAATGTGCCTGTTAGTTTTTTTGCAATGGAAATCGTAAAATGTGCTTGAATGACGTTGAGAAATAGCTATATAGCTACTTATGTAAACATAAAAAGAAGTCATCAATTTGTAACTATTAAGTAAAAAACTTCGTAAGCTATATTCTATTCTCTATTTTTTAATCAATATATATAACATTTCTTATAAAAATAAAATATTTATAATACAAAATAAAATGGGTAAAGAGCTGTGCAACGTTGTTCGTGCTTATAGTTGATTGTATTTCATTTAATAATATATAATAAATATCTTATAAGAACTCATAAAATAGAAAGCACATTTTATTGCGGAGCCGTGTATAGGATCTCGTATTTTGATTGCGATGCCAGATGTTTCGACGAAACAAAAAGAAAACTAAGAGACAGAGTCCATGAGCATTTTACGGACATTGCGAAAGTAAACGTTTCGATTCAACTCTCTTCAGTACAAAAGATGTCCGTAATTCCAATAAGTAATAAAGTCAGAAAATAAAAATTGTAAAAACTACAAGTAGGTGTGAGTATCAATTAAAGCTATATAAAATTAAATTAAAGAATTGTAAAAAAACGCACCTGAGATTAATTTCACAAAATCTTGTATAATAATAGATCTTAATCTTCTAATTCACGATATTACTTGTTTAAAAATTAGATGTGAAATAACAACAGAAAAGTGGAAAGAAGGCAAAGGAAAGAAAGAATAAGATTCTGACGAGTGCATACTATTTAGATAAAAACTGTCCGTATTGCTTCGTTCGTTCAATCCGTACTTCTGTTTCTTAATGTAAACCATTTCTGAAATCAGTCTTTTGTTATAAGACTGTTCATCATCAAGTATTTTTACAATATTCTAATCGAAATTATGATCATTAGAGATACTTTGATTGGCCGATGGAGAGGCTTTCTTATTAATTTCATGAATCCTGGTTTTTAGTTGTCTTTTCGTTTCGTCCAAATATGTGGCATCGCAATCGAAACACGAGATCCTATACACGACTCCACAATCAGATGTACTTTCTATTTCACGAATTCTTATAAGATATTTTTATTTAATAATTGTTTAAAGTAAAAAGTAGACTTTCGCGCGGAATCATAAAATTCTATTTATACTTTCATCGGCTTGGCACAACTTCTTCGTGGGTTACGGTATAATGCGAAATCGATAAAATAGCATCGCGCAACAAGCATAATAATAGTTTTACCAAATTATACCCCGAAAATACGGTCACAGACTAGTGCACGAGCGCACAGAATGACGGAAGATAAAATAGAAGCAAACTGCAATCGTATTTTATAGCATTCGCTGCCAATTACTCGACGAACAATCATCATAAATTAGCACGCGTACACGCATATGAAAGAAAGCATAACGTACAATTAATACTGAAATACGTAAGTACTATCAATTATATCGAATTATTTATTTCACATTATTGTTGCACGCGCAATCAATTCAAAACAGCTTCTCGCAACATCTATTATACCGTGCATTTTAATTATTTATTAATTATATATTTTTAAAATAAAAAGAACTCTGTATGTTGTCGATAATTATCCAATTTGAAATATCATTGCAAACTGTATATTTTCTCAAATTGCTGTAGTAAATAATTCGGCTTAATTTGTCGACGAGGACTTCGTCGCAATTTTTTGTAAGATCAAGTAAGAGAATAATTTTTTTCGCGAGCGAAATAATGCGAAATACCCGCCCGTTCTGTCGTTTATGTCAAATTATCCACTTTACGCCGTAATCGCAGCGGATATCCGGTGGCGAAATTTTGCGACGTCGGTCGGTCGATCTTTCGGGAATGATGTAGCTGTCGTTCCGAGTACGACTCATCTTTCACGATGCTTGTCATTAGATACGATTCAAGGTTTCCAAACTTTAGTCACATGTTTAGTCACGATAATTACCTGAAATCATATTCGCATGATGAGCTGGTAGGCGAAATTGGCTCTCAAGGTACTTAGGCAGAAAGGTATAAAGACCAGCAATTGGCAGGATGTGTAGCACGCTGCTTGCAGTTCTGAACATCAGTATGTCGTTCTTCAAAAGCCTCTTCACTGCGTTCGGAAAATCTGCAACAATATGTGTAATATCAGTACAATCGATAAATACCTTCTTTTTTATTATAAATTAATTTCTAACACAAGAAGAATAAAAAAAAATTGTCAAAAGGTAAACACATGTATGTGTGTTGTTAAAATTTCGATCATTATATATCCTAATAATTATTATATTCCTATTTATTGCAGTCATCTGAGTAAAAAATAAATGTAAGATTATCATATGACTAATACACGATAGGTTATCAACTCGACGTATTTCGTATCGGGCAGAAGTTACGCAAAACTTATAATTAGCGATATCTTGGCCGCGATTGCACTCCGTGGATACATCGCGGCGAACGAGATGCACGCTTGGCCACAATTATTTCTTATTGATCCCAGATTTCTGCCCAATCTCTCTATTCCTTTAATCCGCACATGCGTCTGTATACACACACACTCATCCTCTAAAAATTTGATAGAGTTGTCGGCTCTACCGATTTGCCACATATTTACGAGTTCGATTATGAGAAGCAAGCTAATTAGCTAGCAATTGAATCTCTCTTCGCGTTTCTCTCTTTGAGAATGCGAACTGCGAGCTAAGAACAAAATGGAGAAAGAAATCGCGCCGAGAAAAGAGAAAAGAGAAAGATACTGTCGTACGATTTTACGTTATAGAATGCTAATTGTAAGTGTCATTAGCAAGCGATTTCGCCAACAAGCAATTTCAGCACCTACGGCGACGATGTTGGTACACCGATAAACATCGGCAATTTTGCCAAAATTAATGTAATTAATGTAATTAATTAATATCTGTGCAAATCAATACGTCGTGTAGACTTTTATGTCTGCTCTTGCCAGATTATATTAATGCTTACGATAAACGCGTATTAGAGAAAACCTATTATCTCTAATAGTCTAAGTACCATTAAGGCAATAATGTAACGAAGTCATCTGCCAATGAAATTATTATCCAATTGTCGTCAAGAGTTAGGAAATGTTTCACCTCCACCTATAATAAATTTTGACATTTTAATGGTCACTTTTTTCCGGCTTCGAAACTTTTTGAAAAGATCACAAAGCGTAATATAAGAGACGCATATATCTTTATGTATGTGCTGTAACACAAATTTCAACGTAGAACCACCTTGGAATTAATTCAACACATTTGATTCCAACCGAATGTCGACAATATGAAGAATAAGAACGTCGACTATTAAATGTTTCAAAGTTTCACGATTAAAACTATTTACAATCATGCAATCGATTATTTTATTTTCTAGGCAAAAAATTCTTGAAAATTGGAGAACAGGCTGAAGTTGATTTATTTTACAAATTATTCAGTAAGAAAGCAAAATTGGTGTTTTTAATTTCTTCTTGTTAAAAACAATATTGATTTATCTAGTCAAACAAGTTAAACATCTTTTTCGCGCTATATTGCGTGAGTGTATAATATATGCATAATTTTGTGCGTGCGAACGTTAGCTACATGCTTAAGATTGTCTAAAATTGAAATCTGAAGGTTTCTAGGCATCCGAAAAAATCTACCTAGGAGCTGTGGCAACCTCACACATAGAAACGTCCGCAAATCTTAAGCAGATAAATCGTGATTAACTGCGTTCCGAGTATCATCGCGCGTGTATAGAATGCCCTTTAAAGGTTCTTCTTCGAACATATGATGCCAATCATTATCCACAAATAAATTTGTACGAACAGATGTTCGTGACAGATCTTACTATTTCACAAACTATAAATGAACTGTAAACTTTGTTATTGATTCATAATTAATGCGTAAAATGGAAATAAAGTGGTGCAAGCGGTAGGAGAATGTGCGAGCGTGTGTGTATCGAAGTATAAATGTTCTGCATTTTACAACTGCGTTCATTAGATTTAATGATTGTACAATAGTTGGGCAACAATTGAGTCTGATTGGAGTACCTACTCTCGTAGATGTAATCAGCGAGATTCAAATACCACAAGACGATTCAATTGCATAGATATCTTTCAAACGTTATAAATTCGATATCTAAGATTTTTTTATACCTGTTACAATTGTAATGATTATAATTTTTTTTGAACCACCATTATGTAATTTGATCTGCCGGTATTTACAGAGCTACGTGTGTAGAACATCCGGTTTTAGAAATAAGTTGTTTAGCTATTCATTATAAATATGCAATAGCGTCGGAACCTGTTCTAAACAAAATAACAGCGTGGCCGATAATAAATAAAACATCGGATACGACTTAAGAAATTAGACATTAAAGAAGGCTTTCGTGTAGGCGATCCGCCGAATTAAGCGCGACGGTGTTAGTAATATGACTTGTAGCGGACGCGCGCGTGTAAGGCAAGAGAGAAACGCGATGGAGCGAAAGAGAGGGCGAGAGACACACAGTAAAGAAAAAAAAAAGAGTGAGAAACACACGCACACGGTCAGTGCAAAACGTACGCGCGTGCGTGTCCACCACCGCCTCTATGTACGACGCGTGACCGTGAACTTGCCCCACCTCGTACACGAGTCGGTCAGTCATTATTATTAACGCACACACGCAGAGAGAGCGGCGGCTTTCGCGCATGCATGCACGCATGTACACGCGTGAACGCATCATCCTCGCGCGAGGGTCCGTTAAAGGAGCATCCGACGATTTCAGGGCTTTCGGCATCAGAACAAGCTACAAGTTGTTGTCGAGTTATAAGGTGACTCACGCAAATGATGAAGTGTGTTTCGAAAATCTCAACAAATTATTTGGAAATCATTTATATCCACCTGATACAATATACATCAAAATTTGTTCTTAATTCCCGCTATCTCACATTATATTCTTTCCCTTTTACATTAAAAAAAAATGTATGTAGATTTGCACATTAATTTTACAACAAAAAATGATAATTAAGGGATAAATAAAATATATTGAATTACATTTCAAGAATTTAATTTTAGAGAGAATATATCAATGAAAATTTGTAAAAGTATAAAAGAATATTTCATGTATTTTGAAAAACTTTATTTAATTTTTTTAAATCACACAAAGAGCAAAAAATTATATTAAAATAATCTAAAAGTATTTTAACAAAAAGTTAATTTAAAAAATATTTTTGTAAAAAACGTATAAAACATGAAAAAGTTGTATAAAAAGAATGTATACAATTACATATGAATGCCTTTTGACCAGAAATTTTTTTTACTGCGTTGTATTTTAGAGTTGAATAATATTTGCAGTCAATAGAACGTGCGTTCGACATGTTAAATTTTTGTTAATCTACCTTGAACAGCTTAGGAAAAATCAAAGGATAAACAAGTCAAGGTGACTGAACCGCAAACGAAGCATGAAACACCGTCTTCAAAGAGCCATTTCTGGCAGTGCAAGTTCAACTGGAAACGGCGTCACCGAAAAAAAAAGAAAAAAACGGCAAACGCGCAAAGGTCTAATCAGGGACGAGATTGATTATTCACGGTCGCCGAATTTGAGAGAGTCATTCGAGGAGATGATTCCCCATGGAAGTTTAATCGCTCGTCTAACTTTTTGCAGGCGTGTCAAAATGTGAATCTCGGCGTGACCCGTACTTCCCCGATTAGACGCGCGTATTATGAACGAAGGCGACACCGATTCTCTGCTCGCCACCTAAATTTGCCCTTGACCTTGGATCGCGAGAGCTTACGCGTGAGCGTCATCTGATCGGTTTATTCCTCCTCTTATACGCACACCAAGGTAGAGAGCCGGATAAATACAATGTGCGCAGCGACGGCGGGACCAATATCGGGACCTCGCTCGAGATATCGAAGCAACTGTATGTGAATATAGCACAGTGATTCATATTATTGCGCTGATCGTCACTGGACAACCAAAGCGAACAAGCTGATTTAAATGTGTGGGTTGTTATAAATCAATCGCATGTCGCGTTTAACTCTTAAATGTCGCAAGTTTTTCGCAACAATTCATTATAGTGCAATTTTTCATTTGAAACAAAAATATTATGCTAAAAAATTTACAGAGTGATGAATAAAAAAAGACGTACTGAGGGAATTTAGCTGCGGTATCAAGTTAACTTTCAGAAAAGTAGATTTATCAACAAGAATTGCTCTAAAATAATTCTAATTTAATTTTTGAGTCAAATATATATTTGATTTATTAGCCGTATGTTTTCATGTTTTGTAATAATAAAAAATCTTTTTTTTAATTAATTATTATATTTCTTATTTTGTAAAGAGTCAGCAAAAAAATAAAATAAAAAAATATTACCAAGTCAAATAAAAAATCAATTTATTGGATTAAAATAAAATAAACAAACGGAGATGTATCAAAAAATGTCGTTTAGAGTACCGATACATTATAAAGCCAGCACTGTCTCGCCGCCTTGACGACGCGATATAAATAATATATGCGTATAAGAAAACGCATTATCCAGACTGTAGGCGAAATCACTCGTCGCAAACTTCCGATTAATTTACGAAGAGCACATTGTCTCCGGCTTCTATTTGCATTCTCGTTAGCCTTCGATCTACGGCACTATGCGAATCGTCCAGCACGTAGCAAAAATGTTTGTCATTAATGTGAAAAATATAATTGACAATTATGCAAAGGCTTTGTTTTTCTCGAAAATAACCATTTCCATATACCGTACATTCATACGTAATTTACATGTGTAATATCACAAACAACGACATAAATTCCTACGCCTAAGTACAAACCGTCACCAAGTGTCGAGATTTATCATAATCGCATGACACTGCAACACATACTAGCCGCGAATTGTAATCGCAAAAAGAAAAAAGCGCGGACACGAATGTGTAACGACATACGCATAGACTAAATTTACACGGATGCATTACGGCGCCCGAGAATAAACCGATATCGCATCCGAGCCGTAACGCACTCCGCCCATTATCCTTTTTACTCTCAAAGACCTCCTCTTCGAGAGGATTCGCATAGAAAATCGCGAGATGGAGAGAATAAGAGAGACAAAGAGAGAAAAAGAGACGAGACTGTTACAAAGCGGCTTACGGCGAGCCATAAAAACAGATTATACCTGCGCGAGATCCGAAAAGGTGGCTAGTCTGACGAGAACTATCGCGCTATCCCCGAAGGATAAATCAAGACTTACCACGAAGACTAGGCTTCTTGGCATCGGCGCGTCGAGGCGGCGTTCTGCTCTTCGGCAACCGCGTCGGGAACGCGAACATTCCTATGCTGACCATCATTAGCATTGCCGATATTAGCACCAAACCTGAAACAGCACCAAACATCAAATTTGGCGAGAAAATTCGGAGCAAAGAGTCCTGAGAATCTTCAAAAGATAATTTAAGATAAGTCGCTTCGCAATGGAAAGCTTTTTTTACATGTAGAAACGTTACTGTTTTTATTGAATTAATTTTTCAGATCTAAATCAATTATTATTCCTAAAAAATTCTTGAAAAAAGCATGAAAGATTTTCATTTTGTTATCATTTTTCCGCGACACTACTTAATTGATTATTTCGATGCGCGATTGCGTTACTTCGTGCTATCGAACGATTGTCATCGCAAAAGTTGCATATTTTAACAGTTCATACTTTGAGAAAGTTAGTAATTAAATTACATTTAAAAAAGAAACCAAACAACATAAATTTGTTTGCTAAAACAATAATTTTCACATTTTTTGATTTATACGGCTTACGATTACAACTTACGAGTACAAGTATTGTTTTGTTTTATAAAAAATATTCAAAATGTCTTCTCTAAATATTGATTTCTAAATTCATTGTTTAAATCTTTTCTGAAATATATGAAATATATGAAAGACACAACTCTATTGGCATAATATAAATACTCACTCGAAATTTAGTTCGATTATTTATTTTTGAATTATTCTACATTATGCATTTATGTAATAACCAAATCACAAGTTTAAATAATTTTCACACATTTTTACACGTGAATAACAGGACTTGTAATAACTAATACTATATATGCCTAAACTGGCGACAATATAATGATAATAATAGTATAATAATATAAAACAAATTAATAATAATATATAATATAAATAATGGTAACATAATAATATTTTTATTAAAAATATAGATATAATATATAATTCTTTATAATTAAATAACTAAATAACGCGCATAAAAATGCGCGCTCGTGTGTCTTCAATAAAATTACTTTTAATCCACATCTCTCTCACGAAACCTATTAAAACTCTTGTGCATATATTCAATATATACTACATTTCATTAATAAACGTCGAAATTATTTCTGTAGGCAAACAAATAACCGTCAAAGTGCGTTTTACACAAAAATATTTAAACATATAAAATATTAAATCTTCTCCATCTTAACACGCGTATTTAAGATTAAATTTAAAGCATTAAAAACAATTATTATTGAGCAAATAAAAATAGAATGATGTAATACGATATTTAATTCAATAAATCGCGGGGCATCTTATAAAAAAAAGTCGACGTTGACAATGCCATATCTGAAAATAAATCAGATGGATAAATGCATACACATAATAATTTTATTATGTAATTATATCTATTAAGTCAATCATATCTATTTATTTCTGCAATCGATATATCAATTGCATTAAGACAGTATAAATCATTCGAAAAAATACGCGTTTTTCTTGATAAAAGCATATCAATTATTTCTTTGTGATATAACTATAATTGAAAATATTTTTATTTCATACATATAGATAATATTTCATCTGTACATTATTTTTCACAAAATCATATATTCGTGTATGTAGGATACACTGTCTCTTACGTTGAGATGTTATTACTCAGCATGAGATGTTACCGCGTGTTTTGATCATTGTTAGCTCTATGGCCGACGTACAAATATTTACATTCAAATAGAAAATTATGTGTCTTCTTTCGTTCTCTTTTATACTTTTCGACAGAAAGGTTCTTGTATCAGTTACACGCGTCCAGTCACTTCGAACGGACACAATGTCACTAAGTAATATAACTAAAAAGAACGTGCGGGAATATTATACATTAAAGACGAATTCTAAAGCACAATGTAACTTTTGCAAAAAAAAATATATTTATGTAAAAAATGATACCTCAAAAAAACATATAAATAGACATCATAAAGAAATTAAAAAATACGAAGAAGAAAGAAAACGAATAAAATGGCCATGGATGTATTTCAAGTATCTAAACGAATCATATTCGCAGTGTATTATCTGTGGTGCAAACGTTCCGTCTATATCTGTGGAATCTAAATCTGTGGAAAAGCATTTAAAAGATTTTCATTCTAAAGAAGAACAAGAAAATCATACACCTAGTAATTGGCTATCGAAATATACTACAAGAATTGATGAATTGTTGATGGAGTGTAATATTTGTTACAAAAAATTATCGATTTCTATTCAGAATGTTCAGCTCACTAATCATATAATAAAAACACATTCGGACAAATTAAAAATTACGCAAGAAACATACGACACAGCAGGTTCAGAAAGCGTCTCGTCACTTCGAATGAACACAACGTCTATGTCACTAAATATAACATCTAAACAGTATCTGGAGAAATATTATCTAAAACTATCGAATTTTAAAGCAAAGTGCATAATTTGCAAAAATAAATATGATTATATAAAAGATACAAACTTTGAAAATCATATAGCAGCACGTCATGAAGAAATTTCAAAATACGAATACGAGAGAAAACAAAAAAAATGGCCCTGGATGTATTTCACGTATCTAAACAAATTATGTTCTAAATGTATTATCTGTAATGCAAAAGTTCTTTCTACATTTGCGGAAAAGCATTTAAAACAGCACACTAAAGAAGAACGAAAAAATCATAAACTTAACAGGTGGATACAAAAATATTGTATACAAAAAAATGATGTGGTGGAGTGTAATATTTGCCACGATAACGTAACTCTTTCTGTTAGCTCTAATCTATATCATCATATAAATAATAAACATTCGGAGAAATTGAAAAATACGCAAGGTGCATACGACACAGTTGGTTCGTCAGAACGTGTTTCATCACTTGAAAAGGACACAATGTCACTAAAAGATTGTTAACGAAAAGTTCGCCTTATGATCTTTACATATAAAAAAATGCACCAAAAAATGTTTAATCATAAAAAAAATACCAAAGACAAAGAATAAATTTTATAGTTTTGTATATTCATTGACGTGAAATGCACTATTTATGGTAAGAACGTTTTATTCTTATCTAAAAATTGAAAAAGTCACTTGCACTCGCATTCTAAGGTACAAATAAAAAAAACATACATTTCAGAATTCGCTATGGAAATACATGGACCAAAAGTGAAGATTTCGAAGTAGAGCGTAATATTTGTCACAGAAATATATCTGTTAAAGAAAATTCATTTCAATCACTACATAAAGACGAACACCATTTGGCTAACCAACTAAATTGAATAAAAATAATAGCAGTAAGTTTTATTGATATTATTGTTAATATTATTATGTGTAATTAATTTTTCACATTTGTCAAATCGCGTTTAATTTATTAAATATATAAAATATAATAGTAACAACAAAAACCAATTTAATTTTAACGTAAATATTGTAAATGTTTATAGAGATTTATCCAGAAGCTGACAATGGAAATGATGGTAACGGCATCAAAGTAGCATCACAACCAGCAATAATAGTAACCTTGATTCGGACGATTTTAATTTATTAAAAGATATGCAAGAAAAATGCCATATATAGCTCTAACGTGTAATTGTTTGTTTTATGTTTATAAAGTTATAATTATTATTATAAATCTATGTTTTATAAAAAACTTAGTTACATTATTTAATTTATTCACTATAGTTATAAATTTGATTATGTATCTTGTTTTAAGTTTATAAGCAATTTTATAAATTTATAAACTAGAACGAATTTAATGAAATAATCATTGATTTTTCTGTAAAGACAGAAATACCGACAATTTTTACAACAATTTTATTTTAAATATTTAATTTTTATAAAATTTCTTGTATATTTTTACGTTTATGTATTTTCATTAATTTTGTACTTTATGTAATGTCAATTTGTTATTATAACTTCTGTAAAAGTCTGCGAATGTAATACATAAATTGTCGGTGAAATAATCAATTTAAATTTGAAAATTGTATTTGTTCGCAAAAGTTTTATGTAATATATAATGCATTTGTTATATCACAAATAATTCATCGTAAAAGAATGTGTCATTTTAATATTCAAAAACAAAATATTATAGGAATTGTTAGTTTGTGTGGCATTTTGTATCATTGTGTAATACTAGACTTATAAAATATACGAGATACTCAGCATATTTCAGGAAATAATACCAAAAAAATAATTACAATTTTTACAGTATTTATAATTATTAATTATTCCCAGCCTATAAATCTAATTCTTATAATTATTTCAAATATTTTTAATACTTAAAAAATTGTATTGTGAATTATATAATTGTTTTATTAAAAGATAAATGCAATAATTATTTTGAAAATATAAATTATTTTTAGTAGCAAATCTATGACTTGTGATTTAAGTTAGTAGCCTATTACATTTAAAAAAGAAATCAAACGGCGTAGATTCATTTGCTTAAATACTTTCGTTAAATTTGACACATGATTTATACGGGTGCGGTTAGTGCGTGTCTTTTTTGGTGCTTTAGAGAAAATATTCAAAATGTCTTTTTTCAATCTTGACACATTTCCAAATTTTTTGTTTAAACACTTTCTAGACTGTCAAAGACGTAACTCTATTGATTTAATATAAATGCTTGCTTAAAGTGCGGTCTAATTATTTATTTTTGAATTATTCTATACTATACGTTTATGTAATAACCTAATCACAAGTTCAAGTAATTTTCACAAATTTTTACACGTGAATAGCAGGACTTGTGTTAAATAACACTATATATAATGCTACAACTTGCGACAATATAATGATAATGATGGTATAATAATATATAAATAATGGTGATAATATTATAATATTAATAATAATATTATTTTTATTAAATAAATAGTAATAATATATATTTCTTTATAATTAAAAGATTAAATAACGCGCATAGAGTGCGCGTTTGTGTATCTAATAAAATTACTTTTAATCACTTTCTCTATCACAAAACTTATCAAAAATTTTGCGCATTCAGTCAATATATCCTACATTTTATTAAGAACAACAGAAATTACTTTTGTACGTAGAGGAATAACTGTCAAAGTACGTTTTATATAAAAATATTTAAACATATAAAATATTATCTCTTCTCCTTTTTAATACGCGAATTTAAAATTAAATTTAAATCATTAAAAACTTATTATTGAGCAAATAAGAATAGAATGACGTAATACGATATTTAATTCAATAAATCTGGCCATCTTATACAAAAAGGTTGATATTGATAATGCCATATCTGAAAATAAATCAGGTGGACAAATGCATACACATAATAATTTTTTTATGCAATTATATGTATTGAGTCAATCATTTCTATTTATTTCTGCAATCGATATATCAATTGCATTTAACGCAATATAAATAATTCAAAAAAATACGCATTTTTCTTGATGAAAACATATCAATTATATCTTTGATATAACTATAATTGAAAATAGTTTTATTTTATATATAGATCAGTGCTCGGAATTAAATGCACATTTCGAGCCGATGCCGATTCCCGAGACGACGCCTTCTATCCTCCCACTACTGCTCGAGGCTCGAACGGCCGAGCCGCTAATGTTCTGGCTTAGGTGCGTCCCTATATAAAAAACAGGATTGTACCTTTTATGAAATCATTATTAACATTTATATAAGGACGCTCCTAAGACTGAACATTAGACGCGCTATCGGCGGCTCGGTCGTCGAGTCTCGAGTGGTAGTAAGGAATTAGGAGGCGTCGTCTCGGGAATCGGCACGAAATGTGCATCTAATTCCGAGCACTGATATAGATAATATTTCATTTGTATATTATTTTTAAAAAAACCATATATTCGTATATGTACGATACACTGTCTCTTTCGCTGAGATGTTATTACTCGGCATTAGATGTGACCGCGTGTTTTGATAATTGTTAGCTCTGTAGCCGACGTACAAATATTTACATTCAAATGAAAAATTATGTGTCCTCTTTCGTTCTCTTTTATACTTTTCGACAGAAAGGTTCTTGTATCAGTTACACGCGTCCAGTGACTTCAAACGGACACAATGCCACTAAGTAATATAACTAAAAAGAATGTGCGGGAATATTATACATTACTGTCGAATTTTGAAGCACAGTGTAACTTTTGTGAAAAAAAATATACTTATATAACAATTAACACCTTAAAACACCATATACATAGTCAGCATAGAGAAATTGAGAAATACGAAGAAGAAAGAAAACGAAAAAAATGGCCATGGATGTATTTCAAGTACCTAAACGAATCATATTCGCAGTGTATTATCTGTGATGCAAACGTTCTGTCTATATCTGTGGAATCCAAATCTGTGGAAAAGCATTTAACAGATTTTCATTCTGAAGAAGAACAAGAGAATCATACACAAAAAAGTTGGCTAGAAAAATATTTTGCGAAAAGTGATGATTTTTCTATGAAGTGTAATAAATGTCACAAAGAATTATCGGTTGCTATTCAAAAAATTAATTTAACTGAACATATAAAAAATTCACATCCAAACAAATTAAAAAATACACAAGAAACATACGACACAGTTAGTCCGTCAAAACGCATCTCGTCACTTGAAACGGACACGTCTATGTCACTAAATATGGCAACTAAACAGTATCTGGGGCAATATTATGTGAAACTATCGAATTTTAAAGCGCAGTGCATATTTTGCAAAAATGAATACAAATACTTACAATATAATAACTTTGAAAATCATATAGCAGCACGTCATGAAGAAATTTCGAAATACGAATACGAGAGAAAACGAAAAAAATGGCCCTGGATGTATTTCACATATCTAAACAAATTATGTTCAAAATGTATTATCTGTAATGCGAGACTTCTTTCTACATCTACGGAAAGGCATTTAAAAGAGCATACTAAACAAGAACAAAAGAATCATAAACTTAGAAGCTGGATACGGAAATATAGTACACTAAAAGATGATTTTGTTATGGAGTGTAATATTTGCCACGATAACATAACTCTTACTGTTAGCAGTAAGCTAAATTATCATATAAATAATAATCATTCGGACAAATTGAAAAATATGCAAAGAACATACGACACAGTGGATTCGTCAGAAAGTGTTTCGTCACTTGAAAAAAACACAATGTCACTAAAAGATTGTTAACGAAATGTCCGCTTTATAATCTTTACATATACAAAAATGCACCAAAAAATGATTAATCGCGAATAAAAATACCAAAGACAGATATTATCAAGATTATATTTTAACTCACTGACGTGAATGCACCATTTATGATGAGAACGATTTATTCTTATCTAAAAGTTTAGAAGGTCACTTGCACTCGCACTTCTAAGGATCAATTAAAGAAATATACATTTCAGAGTTGGCTATGGAAATACATGTACCAAAAGTGATGATTTTGAAGTATAGCGTAATAATTGTCACAGAAATATATCTGTTAAAGAAAATTCATTTCAATCACTACATAAAGACGAACACCATTTGGCTAACCAACTAAATTGAATAAAAGTAATAGCAGTAAGTTTTATTGATATTACTGTTAATATTATTAAGTGTAATTAATTTTTCACATTTGTCAAATCGCGTTTAATTTGTTAAATATATAGAATATAATGATCACAGCCAAAATTAATTCAATTTTAACGTGAATATTATAAATGTTTATATAGATTTTTCCAGAAGCTAACAATGAGAATGATGGTAACGGCATCTAAGTAGGATCGCAACCAGCAATAATAATAATCCTGATTCTGACGATTTTATTTAATTAAAAGAAATGCAAGAAAAGTGCCATATATAGCTCTGACGTAAATTATTTGTTTTATGTTTATAAAGTTATAAACATGATTATAAATCTATGTTTTATAAAAAACTTAATTACATTATTAAATTTATTGACTATAATTATAAATTTGATTATGTACATTATTTAATTTTATAAGCAATTTTTATAAATTTATAAACTGGAACGAATTTAATGAAATCATCTTTGACTTTTCTGTAAAGACAGAAATACCGACAATTTTTACAACAATTTTATTGTAAATATTCATTGTAATTTAATTTTTACAACAATTTTATTGTAAATATTCATTGTAATTTAATTTTTATAAAATTTTTTGTATATTATTACGTTTATGTATTTACATTAATTTTGTACTTTATGTAATGTCAATTTATTATTATAACTTCTGTAAAAGTCTACGAATGTAATACATCATGTGTCGGTAAAATATTATATATCAATCTAAATTGCAAAATTGTATTCATTCGAAAAAAATTTATGTAATATATAATGCATTTATCATAAGACAAATAATTCATCATAAAAAAATTTGTTATTTTAATATTTAAAAACAAAATATTATACAAATTGGTAGTTTGCGTGGCATTTTGTATGATTGTGTAATACTAGGCTTATAAAATGTACAAGATACTCAGCATATTTAAAAAAATAATTACAATTTTTAGAGTATTTATAATTATTAATTATTCCCAAGCTATAAATCTAATTCTTATAATTATTTCAAATATTTTTAATACTTAAAAAATTGTATTGTGAATTATATAACTGTTTTATTAAAGATTTTCTTTAAAGATAAATAAAACCTTCAATGCTTGCAATAATTATTTTTAAAATATAAATTATTTTCAGTAGCAAATCTATGATTTGTAATTTAAGTTAGCAGCCTATTATATTTAGAAAAAAAACTAAACGGCGTAAGTTCATTTGCTTAAACACTTTCATTAAATTTTACACATGATTCATACGGGTTGCGGTTAATGCTTGTCTTTTATAATACTTTAGAGGAAATATTCAAAATGTCTTTTTTGAATCTTGATACATTTCCGAATTCTTTGTTTAAACACTTTCTAGAATGTCAAAAACGTAACTCTATCAGTTTAATATAAATGCTCGCTGAAAGTGCGGATAATTATTTATTTTCGAATTATTCTATACTAAACGTTTATGTAATAACCTAATCACAAGTTTAATTAATTTTTACACATTTTTGCACGTAAATAACAGGTATTAAATAACACTGTATATAGTGCTATGAATTGCGACATTAACAATGATTTAATAATATATAAGTAATGGTGATATTATATTATATTATTATTATTTTTATTAAAAATATATTTATAATATATATATTTTTGTAACTAAAAGTATATAAATACGCGCACACGTAGCGCGTGTTAGTGTGTCTAGTTTTTATAAACATCGAAATTTTGTTATTTATTAACTTGTAAACTTACCTAGCCACCAAGCTCCGACCCATCTTGGATCCGTTGGCGTGATCTGTGGATTTTTCGACAAATCCGCATAGACCATTGTGCATAAAGAACCGAGAATGAAGCCTAATGCTGGACCAAGAATCCGCACTCCGATAGTGATCGCTGTAGCATAATTAAATAATTTTTTCAGTTAAAAATTTAATAGATATAAGAATTTTAATGGTTTAGATAGATCTACATAGGCCTAGTTAAAAATAGATAACTAAGTTTTCGAATACAAAAAGTTTGATCTACTACTGATAAAAAATATATAAGATAGAAAAGAATATAGCTAAAAGTAGTAATTTGCGAATCGATAAGACTTACCGAAATACAAAGGACTTTCTCTGCTGGCCACATTGTCGTCGATGTACGGTATACCGAGCGTGTACACCGCCGTTTGGCCCATTCCTACGCCGAGCAACGATACAAAAAATATCGCTAGCACTACCGTGGTTATCTTACTCTGTATTCTCTGCTCTGTGAGGAAATCGCCTTCGCAATATTCTGCTGAATTGATCTGCGGTGTGGTCGTCGATACGTTCCATCTTAAAAAAAGAAAGATATAATAAAATTGATCATAAAATGTTACTTGCTGCGTCCACTTCGAGATAACGATATACGCGCGGCTATTAACGTGAATATTACTTAATTCTTGATGGGCACTCATAAAGTACACTTGCTGTATACTGCGTTATATAGAACTAAGTGAACCTTGGAATGATATTAGGTATATTATGGATATTATGTGTATGTGTTAGAGAAATCAAGAAATTAAAACAGGTTACAAGATAAAATAAGATTTAAATTGTTAATTTAAAAGATTTGTAATCAAATTCTACATGATCGCTATAACTATAAAAGCAATAATTTATGGTGATATCACAATCTCAACATTTATAAATTATCCTGCAAATATTTGACATTGTACGTAATTAATTATACATATGTACAAATTATCTTATGTTAGATAAATATTTTTTATTACAAATATCGCCGTTTAAATCATACTACTGATGACTATATTTAAAATGTAATCAACGCTTTCCAGAAACATTATATACTATTGTTTAAATATTTAGAAGCACTTGGAATTACCTTCTCCTAATAACTCTGTTTCCTTTCGACTGTTCAATACGATTGTTCAATGAGTCATATATCAATTAGTAGAAAAGTATTAGAAGAATAAAAAATGAACAGCCATAGTCGTCGAAAGACTCGCGAAAGAATTACTGAGATTACTGAAAAGTCGTTACGCTTCTTCGTATAATAAATACAATTTTCTGATCGACATTCAAGAATCGAAAATAGTGCAAAAAAGTTTCTAGAAATGTCACAAGCCCTTATCTTTTATAATTTCAAAGATACTTTGAGTTTTATTTTAATAATATAATTTGGTCCCGTTACTATTCGCGAATAGCTCAAAATAAGCAATGTCTTTTATATTAAGAAACCTCTCGAAGAAGTCTGTGATAACAGAAATGTAACTCGATTTTGACTATTAAAATATACATGATTCTTTTACTTATCATAGTAATTTTTTCATTTTAATATAATTTCCAAAAAATTCCAAGTAATCTCGAAATATTTGAACGAACAGATATATAACGAAATAGTGTACATTAAAAACACCTACGTGTTTTTCATTTTTTTAGCGGTGTTGATAATTATTGATTTCTTGGTATAACATGATATCACAAACATGTTATACCAAGAAAACAAATAATCAACCAAGTCAGATAATCGACACTGTTCCATTTTATCACTGCATGTTTCATTTTAAACTACGCGAATTAGTTTCAAACATTAAAATAAACGCTTTCATTATAAAATTAACAGAATTACGACACAGAATCATATTCTAGGTCTTTTAAAAAATGGAATTTGTTTTTCTAATTAACAGTAATTAATTACTGTTGTAAAAGAATGATGTTATTAGTCGAATTTTCTCATTTGTCAATCAGACACATTGCATTCTTTTCTTATCTAAATCTTATCTAAATCTAAAATCGATTTCTTTGAATTATAGCACGTTATTGACATATAATTTTTAATTTTGCAATAATTCACCATTGTGTCGAAGTAGCTACTATTTAATCAGAATGATTAGCTGACGAAGACATTTTTCTTCATCACAAATCGCTCTCGCTATTTACCCGGCAGGCGTCATTCATCAAGAATTTAAGAAATAAAAATAAATAACCCAAAGTAATTATGACAGTAGCACTTACCCTTCCAGCGTGCTGTTCCTTTCCTGGAACTTGCAGAGGTTCGCCGGCACCGGGTCCGTACTATTAGGCCCTCGCCCCTCACCG